TAATTGACAGATAAGCAGGGAGCCAGAAGAGAGTTCCACAAGTGAGAAGTGTGAGAGAAGAAACTATTGGCATAGAACCTATGGTTACAACTAGCAATTTCAGTGTTGAAGTTATGAGACCTAGCTGACAATCTAGTAATGTGCTTAAATTCATAAAGTCATCTTAATAGAGAGGAAAGCTCATCAGAACAGTTACCATGGAGATAAATTATAGAAGATACAAAGGGAAGTTACATTATAATAGTGGGAAAATGACTAATGCCAAGTTTGAACTAATAATGTTGCTGACTCTTTTTTGGATCTTAGCAAGAATCTCTAGATATATAGTAGCATCACCAAACCAGATGTGTCAGCAATATTTGATACACAGACAAATAGTAGACTTAAGAATATGCAACATATTCTAGCAAGAAAAAATTGTCTGGCATGACATAATGAAACAACTTTCCAAGCAGTAGACTTAAGAATAGATTCAGTGTAATCATTCCACTTCATGAGAGTGGAAAATGAGAGACCAAGAAGGCACAGTGAGTTTCTGGTGGATAGCATCAGCCATGCAGACAGAAAGGGAAAAAGGTTCTTTATGATGATTAAAAGAAGGCAGTTTCATTTTAGAGGTGTTAAAATTAACAAATCACTTCTTTCCCCAGTTTACATCAGAGTGTAGGGTGAAATATATAAACATTCAATGAATAAGAATACTGATATATATTATCAACAATGCCTTGTTTACCAGCACAAATCTTCATCATCAAGAAAGTTCAAATGAGTGTCAGCCATTGATATCTGTACATATTTCATATATATAAACATGAATTGCTGTATGTACTATTATGCTGACGCATTTAAGTGTTGGCAGGTGTTTTTACTTCTCTTGAAATGGTTGTTGTCCCAAGTCTACAGACCATGTAGTATATTTTGACAAGTGTGACATACACCTTGTTGCAGGCTATTTGAATCACCTTGATGTTCACCATGTCTACCGGTGGTTCTGGTTAATTTCTGCAAAAGAATACACCCTTTCATATCATGTGTGAAACTTGTTTCAGGAACATCATTTGGCTAACTTACAGGATCTCTACTGATCCCTTGCTCACCATATTTAAACTTCATTAAGCATGTGCTTATGGCCATATAAGCAACATCGAGCTTGGTCAGTGCCTACATGGGTGACTACTTGAGAATAGCAGGTGCTGGATGTGTGTGCAGTATAATGGATAATGAATCTGAATTGCAACTCAGAAAGCTGAGTTCCAATTTCAATCAGGTTTGTTGTATTCACATACTTTCAAGTCTATATCTACCACGTTTCCATCCTTAGAATATTGCTATCATATATGCTTCAGTGACCCTGTTATTTACCTTGAGATCCTTGATAAAATCTAAAGAAGAATCAGCAATATTATTGGCCCTGATCTGGCTGCTCAACCTCAGTCACTTTTCCACCATTGTAAAGTTCCTTCCAGCACCTTTTCTATAAATAATCTTGTGGTACTTGTTCAGATGAGCTCTTTGCTATGGTACCTAGACTTTTAAAAATTTAAACTCAGTTCCAGACTGGCGTGGAGATCTCATCAATTTACAGTTCAGTTGTTTAGATATAACCATAGAGTCTATGCTAACAGTTTCTTTTCTCACACTTCTCACTTGTGAAACTCTCTTACATCTCCATGCTTTCCAGCTAACTTTAATCTGCAAAAATTTAAATGCAATGTATTCTTTTTTCTTATAGTTAAAGAACTATTCCCTGCAATTCATTATACAGTCTACAACAGAAATACCACCTCCATATAACACCCAAAAATACCTACTACATAAGGGTAAAACATTAGCTAAGGAAGACACCATTGCCACTAATATCTTACTATTATGTAGGAAGTATTTCTGGGAGATATTTTTTCTGCACTCTGTATTTTTATTCATGAAGTAAATGATTAGCCTTTCTGAGAAAAAAAGAAAAGTCATTAACCAGTTAAATTGATCATTGTGGACAACAATGAACATTTGAGGGGGCATCCACAGGTCTTGCTTCTCAGTGTTGCAAATGTGTATTCTATTTCATCCCAACGAAAACTGGTTATTTTCTGGCAAGTTGTTATCAGCCTATATTACATATGACTTTTACTATTTGACTTGTATTCGGATGCTCATCCTCAGTTTGGTCAAATATCACCCTTTCCTTATTTGTAGGCAGCGTCCGTATTTCTAAGCAAGCTTGTCAGATGCTTAGGATTAGATAGGCAAAGAAATTGTACTGAAATTGTTTTGGAAGCTTTTTGAATCTGATAAACATAGATTGTTTGGATTATTTTCAATTTGGGTGAAAGTGATATCTGCAGAGGTTAATGATTACTTATTGGTTATTTCTTGGAAATTTTCATGTTCATAATTAAATTTCCAACTGAAGTTTTTTGTTTTCTTTGACATGAACTCAGAATATATGTTTTTAATTATTTCACCTTAAGCAGTGTAATAATGCCACTAAGATGTAAGGGGCTACTGAGATTAAAAGAAAATGAGAAGACTTTAGTAAGAAGAAAGAGAATGGAAATAAAAGAACAGGATTCAGGAAGACAGATGGATGTTTAAATTTTTGAAGATTGTAGGTGGCAGGGAAGCAAAAAAATTGGAAAAGTGAGGTGAGAAAGAAACTGTTTTACATTTAGCTATTTCAATATTAAAATCACAAGACTTATTTGCAAATCTAATAATTCATGCATTTGAGGTATCAAGAATAATAGAAAAGAGAGGTCATGACAGAGGCAAAGTGACTGAAGTTGAGATGCCATGTCAGGATACCACTGCCATTACAGTCCCTTCTTTAGATTTTGTCATGAACCTCAACATATATAGCCAGAGCATCAGACTAGATATTGCAGCAAAATGCATAGATAAATGGTAAATTTATAAATGTGCAAGATGGTTTCTGATGAGAAAAATTGTCTAGCACAACACAGTTGACCAACTTTCTTAGCAACAGACCTAGCAATTGATTCAATATAATTGATTGTGGCTTAGTAATAGCACAAGTTTAGTGGATGTATGTAATTGGCTGCAAAGAAGTTGAAATGATTTGACTATTTTTTGCGAATGATTATGATATATTTTAATACTGTTAATCAGTTTTTCAACTGATCATTGAATGCAGAATTCATTAACAGTATCCAGTTGGACTCAAAGATCTATTTGAACTGTTAGGAAAACTTGATGTGTTTGGGAAATATATTAGAATGATCCATCACTTTTACTGGGAACAAATTGAATGTATACATATAGAAAATGAATTTAGTAAGTGCTCAAAAATAATAGAAAGGGGCTTAAGACAATGCTGTGACTTCTCACTAGGTTTATTTAACATATACAGTGAGGGAATCTTAAGAGAACTATAAGTTCTGCCAGGGTTTATTAATGGTGGACACAATCTTTAAACCTATGATACACAGATGCCACCATATAAAGATAACTGAAGTTACTTCTAGACAAAGTAGTAAAGGAAAGTAGGAAGAAAGGATTAACTATTAATTCTAAGAAAATAGAATATATGATCATTACTAAGAGGGAGAGTCCAAGACGTGAACTCCAAACTCAATTCAAGCAAGTACAGAGATTTAATCATCTGATGATGGAAAATGTGTTAGTGAAATTCAAAGATGCATTGGAATAGTGAAATTTACATTGCAGAAACTAAACAAAGTATTACAATACAGGAAAATTTCATTAGAACCAAAGATGTGTGCTCAGCTATATGGTAGAAAATGCAGAACAATTTCCTCGCAGATGAAGAGGAGACTTGAAACAGCAGAGATATAGTTCTACAGAAAGATCCTGAGAATACCATAGTTGGAACATGTAAACAACAAAAATTTTTTTAAGGAAAATAGGAACTAAAAGTACACTTGCATAGAATAGAAGAGATATGTGAAATTTCTATGACACTGTTGTGGTAAACCCTCTTACAGTATAATGAACTCTTCCTCCTCTCATAAATACAAACTGCGAGAGTCGGATAGGTGAAGAGTGTGAAGTGAAGTGGAGTAGTAGATGCAGTGCTAATCTACTTATTACTAACACTATTGTTTTGCATATATCTTTAATATACTTTTTCAACCTACCTTCGTCTTCTGTGTCTTTTCTTTCTGGCCCCTAAACAGGCCATATCAGAAACCAAATGAGGAAAGAAGCTTCAGAGAATTTGACACATGTCAACTTTCTCACCAACATGTCATGGGTTCTCTATGCCTTTTCTACAAATATTTTCATGGCAACTGTTCTGATGAGCTTTTACCCTTCTGATGAGCTTTTACCCTTGGTGCCCCGACTACATGAATTTAAGAATGCTACCAGATTGGCAACTAGCTCTGACCATTTCTACTGTTGCACTAGCTCAATGCAACTGCCACTTTTCTCTCACAGTTTATTTTCTTGCACTGTGGAATTTCTTTCTAATTGCTTGCTTCTGTCATCTTCTGTCTTCTTGAACCCTCTTTTTTTTTTTTGTCCTTTCTTCAATATTCCCCATTCCCAGCCTTCTCATTCTCTTCCCCTTTCACTCCCTGTAACTCCCTGCATGGTAGTGGCATTATCATCTTGCTTGGAGTGAAATGATAAAAAAAAAGAACTGACAGAACATTGAAGGCAAGTGGGGAACATTGAGTAACCCCATCTAACAAGTTGGTGTAAATAGATAACAGAACAACATGGCCTGGAGGGATAATAAAGAAATAAACATAACAAAGCATAGAAAATTGGAGAAAACCTTGATTACTCATTTTTTGTAAGGACATGGCACATAAAAGAAAAAGAACTAGATTTGAGCAAAAGATTAAATGTTAAAATAAATTTCAATTTTTGGTGGGGGTGAAGCATATAAAGAAAAAAATTTCCATTAACCATTCCATTCATTTATTTTATCTATTTTAATTTTTAATTTATTTAATATTTTATTTATTAAATGAATTAAGTATTTATTTATTTTATTCATGACTTATACTAGTGTTTACAGCAATATCACATTGAAATACCAGTTCCCCTACAATCACAGAAGTTAAGCAGCATCAAGCCTGGGCATTACGTAGATGGTTGACTGCTTGGGAATACCAGGTGCTGTAAGCTTGACTGTGCAGGTAGTTTAATGGATAATGGCTAAGAATTGTTAATCAGAGAGCCAAGTTTTAATTCCAGTTGGGTTCATTATATTCATTTAAGCACAAATACACTTGAAAAGGTATGAATTCACCTCTTCTCCTCACAGCTATGGGTTAATTAGTAAGACTTGTATCAATAAAACCATTATTATGTTCAAAAGAAAAAAAAATAAGATTGCATACAAATATATTTAGATTTTGGCATTAAATAACCCGTAGAGGCTGATATGCCACTGAACTCGATCAACCAATCAATCATGGCTTATATATTTTTATGCCACTCACAAAAATTTCTTATTATCTATTGGATGGCAATTACTTTTACTTTAGATACATGGTCCTGCAAATTTTTTAGATGTCAGTAGCTTCTACGTATTTCTGTTTGTTATGGTGGTAAGCTAATTTTCTGTTGCGGACACTTGCTCCAGCACGTTTGTGCTTGTTCAATACCAACAGAGCCAAATTGTGACTTATACAGCAACTATTCTGAGCATACCTTAGTTCGAGTTTCTAGGAGAGAGTGTATAATCTGGATTGATCAACAGTTTGAACACTAAAACCTTCGGTCATGATGACTTGTGACTTTGTGCTAGCACAATCATTAACAGCTTCCACCCAGTTTAATTTATCTGTTGGTGATATGGTTTTCAGGCATTTCCGATAGTGCCACATGCTGGGATCATCTCCCCAGACTCATACTAACCATAACCAAATTCTAACTGGTGTCTGATGGTTCAAATGGTAATGTTCTAATCAATCAGCCACTGGTCTACATGTTACTCCTTAGTCATGTTACTCCTTACTCTGTTGGCAACTATCATCTTCCTGTGAACCTACTCTGTGAATTTGTTTCTCAAGATGAAATCCACCCTGTAAGGTTGTTAATCTCAGATGACAGAAGTAGAGAAAGATGTGCTGTAAGATCTGTACATTCTCGCACTGATAGCAATCCTGGGAATGTATCAACAGTGGAAGAATTATTTTAAGAGATAAGTTTTACTAATGCCTGAATTTCTGGGATGAGTTATGAATTAAACTATTTATATTTGGACTATTGTCTTAATCTTTGTTATTATTATCACAATGGTTGAACCTATCTATATGGATAAATCACAATGGTTGAACATATCTACATGGATAAATCATTAGGCAGGCAGAATATGTCTAATGCAACAAGTTCTCCACAGAGAATTGTCCTATGGGATAATAGCCTAGTGGATGAAAGCATTAGTTTGTGAATTTGGTGATATAATAATTGTGAGTTCAGTCCCTGGGACAAGCAGTGTTTACTTAAACTAGTGGAAACAGGATGAGCAATGCTAAAAATAAGAACTAGAAAAGATATCTCAAGTATATCCAGTAGAATGAGAACAGTCTATCACAGTAGATGAAATAAAGGGATGAGTTAAGAATTCCTTGGAGGTTACCTGGATTGATACATATACCTGATGATGTCCACAATGGTGGAAATGTTGTCATAGCAGCAACAAAGATTAGGTCAATAGTCTGAATGTAAATAGTGTAAATAAGTCTTATGTTGTAGTTAAACAATAAATTTAATTTTGCAAAAGTTGTTTGCTGATCAGACATAACTTGTGTATATGTGTAGACTGGCAAAAAGCAGTTTTTACTCTAGTCCTTTAAAGAAAGTGATAAGGTGTCTCTTTTGCATTTTCTGTATGATTTTTTTTCTGATTGAAGGATACTCATAGGCTAGTAACACCTGTTCATAATAATCAATAAAGTAAACTGTTATATATGGTAGGGTGTAATTTCAATTGAAGAGGTTTTATCAGCCTATATAGATCCCATGAATTTGACATTCTGCATGAATTAGGAGTTTTGTAAATTAGTTAACAAAGACCAAAATCTGAATGAACACTAAATATTTAGGTGTTATAAACAAGCTTACACAAGAACTCATTTAATTTTGTTAAATATAAAACAATAATCTATTCCTGAGTGCTACTGTAGTTTGGGAAGGTATTTGATACAGCAGTATAGTTTACCTCATTTAAATTAACAAGTCAAAATGCAAAAAAAAAAAAAAAAAAATGCAAAGATATGACCTAGGGGGTAAAACATTAAATCAATGGCCTCAAAATTTATTAAATGATACAAAGCCAAAAATGGTTTATTTTCAAGTACAAAAATTGTACTTTGATGTAACAAATGTTTCTGTGTTGACTGAGTAGAATGTCAGTTGCAGAAATATTAAAACAAGGCACGAAACAATTGAACACCAGATTTGCTGAAGGCAGGATGCATTTCCATTGTTGTATTCAGGAATTAGCAATTATGCATTTGCTTGAAGTTGTTGAATTTCCCTATTGAATACATACGCTTTTTTTCCTCTTTGTTTTCCTTGCCAAATTGATTTCTTTGTGAAGTTTTGTCAGATTGAAGGCTTTTTATGGAGCTTTTCTTCCCTAAAGGGATTCTTTTTTCATGCAATCTTGACTTTATTCTTCTGATAACGCTTGTTATGTTTATTTATCTACTCTTCTTGTCTGAAAGTGGAAAGGGTACATTTTCTTTTTTCCTTGGCATTCCATGTATCACTTGTCTAATTTGTAAAATTTTAAAATATTTTTTTCAAGTTGTAAAAATACAAGGAAGTCACAAGCATGTTGCGAATATAAAATAAGGAGAAACAAAATAATTATATAAATTTATTTTTAACAGTGGGTTTATAATCGGTGCCTCTACTAATTCAGTATATGTAAAGGTTTAAAATGAAAAAGCTTTTTTGAAGTTTTCATTTTAGCTTCATTTGAAAACTAAAGGATTTAAAATTTACTATTTCCAGTCAGCAAAATACACTGCGGTGTATTTCAAACAGAAATTATATTGATCAGAATTGATTTTTTCTTTTCAGTAAAATTGATAAAAATCAAAAGTTAATTCTAAGTTTTAAAATCTTGCAGAAATAAAATATATATTTCTAAAATATTATTCAAGAAAAATTAGCAAATTTAAAATTAACTTAATCTGATTGGAAGCAAATATTACTTATTTATAGTATAAAATGTTGTATACAAATATTTCTTAACTACTGGGTCTTGTTTCTTTGATGTATAAAGTGATTTATTAACAGCTGAAAGTGTTCATAATTAAGTAAGGTGGAGCAAACAAGAAAGTCTATAAGTGGGAATAACTCTTAATATACATAAGCATTTAATGATAGATTTATTGGTTTGTACATCCATACTTCAGAAATTCTCCCATGTAATCACATACATAAACAAATTGAAATTCTTTTAAAAATATTCAGTGTCATCAGAATATATTAAGCTTTACAATATATGATTAGTAAATATAGTTGTACTTAATAACAATATTTTCTAAGAATTATCACATTGAAAATTAATTTAAAAAATTTAAAAACTTTATAAATTATTCCATTTAAAAGTGTAAAAAATGAAAACAAATCTTGTAAAAATTCATATTGTCTTTAATATATATTATTCAGAAAAGCAATTAAAAGCTTCTCTGATTAAATAATGTCTTACACTGTTTAGCAGTGGAGATGGCATATTAAAAGTTTTCTTTGATGCCCAGGGTAAACAGTTTCATGCTACCACCAAAAAGCATCGACCCCTTGCCACACTTACTCCACACACCAAAACTATTATGTAGAAGCTACACACAGAAATTCACCATCCAAAGCAACACCCTTGATCATGGTTAGAGAAGTAGCCAAAACAATTACAACTATGGACAATTCCTATATTCTTTAGCCCCTGAAAAATGGAAAAATGTTAGGATGCTGGAAAAACTCAATAAAATTTGAATTAAATCTTCCTTGTTGGCGGTTTTCAATGAGAGATACTTGAAAGAAAGGTTGGTGCCCAAACACACATTAAAAATATATATATATATATATATATGCACATATGTGTATGTCTATGTGTGTATGTGTATATATAATATATATATATATATGTATATATATATATATATGTATATGTGCATATGTATGTAGATGTGTATGTGGTAATAAATAGTAGGGTTTTACAGAATTAAATATTTTTATATGTTTATGTAGGGGAAACTTACATGCTTTTTCAAATTGTTCTTGATTCCACATTTCTCTTATAAAGGCGCTGTTTTAATTTGGCCTTTTCTTTTACCTTGTGCCTTTCCTTCATTTCCTATCTTCTCTTTTCATGTGTACATAAGGTTAGTAAATGCAAATCAGATGAACAATTTTCATATATACATTGGCAGTGCAAATTGGATAGTTTGGATCGTATAATCGTTTATTGTGTCTAATGTCACCGCAAATGTAGCTACACTCTTCCGGTGTTTGTTTTTTAATTTTAGGTCAACAAATTGGTAGTGATTTATTTATCTGCATCTCACTCATTTAAACTGTTATTTAACTTTTATCTTTAAATTTTTATTCCCCATCTTCATCTTTTTTTGGTTTTTCTTCTTCTTCTTTCTTCTGTTACACCTCTCTCTAGAGCTTTCATACATTTCCCTCTCATCCTTGTTTCCCACTCCCACACATGCACTCTAACTGAAATTTTGTTTTTATACCTGGAATTATGTTTTCTGTTTCCTTTCGAATTTGTAAGTCTGATTAACTGTATTGTGATTATGATTCCAATGTATTGAAATATAACCATGGTATATTAGTGTTTGTGCCTTTTATATTATATTCTTGCTCTGTACTTACATTGAGCTCTACCTGGATTTTATCCTCTTGGAAATATATATATATATATGTATATATATATATATATATTGACCTCTAATATTATATATATATATATATATATATATATATATATATATAGTTTCTTCAAAACTCAGTCACACATCATCTGTCCTTACACAACCCTAAGAAGCTTTCTTTTTTTAATAATGAAGAATGTCGATTAAACTCATAACTGTATGTTAATCCTTTTCCAGGTGTGAAAAATGCAGAAAAATATATAACCAATCTGAAGACTGCCTA